TAATCGTCCTTGTTGATAACAATTTGTAAACTGGATTCTAAATCGATTTGTCCCCATATTAAATAAGCATATCGTATCTGCTAGCGTAAACTATAAAATCGTATATTCCGCTCTGCAAAGCTTATTCAGGATAACAATACAATGCAAATGGTATATGCGTGCGTTCTGCACATGCTTAGTCGCCATTCATGCTGCAACTACAGTTCGCAAGTGTTGTCAATCGATCGATCGACCTAATTGACCTTCAATAATGTTTCGAGCACTTCGCTGCTACATGAATGATCAAGGTATGTTACCTTACTCGTTTTGACGGCATTATGCATATATTTCATATGCTAATGAGCAAACGATGAAGAAGAATTATAATACTACTGCTTATGCTAGAGATGCTGAAGTTTTGGATCTCCTGATTAATTCTACGCTGATTTGTTTATGCTTGGAACGAATGGATATTTATTCCGTAATGCCGTAAATGCGACTTCCTAACAGGGCTACTTTGGATCCGCCTCAAAACTTTGGAGCAAGTAATTGACCACAAGGCACGTAATGGAGATTAATATTTATTTTTTGAACTTGTTCGATTTCTGGGCATCTATTAATTCACCTGAGATCACTGATTCTCTGTGTTCTAAGTAGACTAATTCAGTACAGTGACTAATTGTGTCTACTTTTCCATTTTCATTTTACTGTATGACCCAAGAGCAATAAAATAAAAAATCAGACATTCGTTAATTTAACATTGATTACTAAATATTTGTCCTCAAAAACATCATTAACCTGGGTACTCAGTTCTTAACCCTGATAACTCAGATTATGAAGACAACAACGACAAATAGTTTTCCTCAAGGAGTATGCCCTGAGAGGAATGCAAAATAATTGAAGGTGAATTCTGAAGAAATATAAACAGCGTTCTCAGCAAATAGACATTCGTGACAAACGACTTTTTTCAATACCAATGGCTCAGGACGAGACGCAGGATCCTTTCTCTTTCAGTCCTATGTTTTAAATTCCTGCTCAGAAATCACCGTCAGAGCCATTTCACAAACAAATGTTATACATTCTCGTTGCGAGACCGCCTCTCAACAAGGGAAGGTTTCACTTTAAAAAAATGAAGCAATCATTTTCCATGGTAATCTGATTTATTGAACTTCTGGGAAGCTGAATTTCGCAATGTGCCAAATCTCCTATTTAACACTATCACATGAAGGAACCTGTTTCCTGAATGGATGTTCAGAGTTTCCTTCATATTTAGTTGAAGTTCTGCAAGCATTTAAAAATTCCAATGAACGAGATAGAATAGCACTCAGTGTCATCAATCACAATCAAACGGTAAAATCTCGTTATAATTATGTTTCCCAGCTAATCATCACAATGGACTCGGTGGATCAATTTTCTCGGCACAATATATGTGTATCATTAAAGTCAGTTTACTGTGGCATTTGAAAAGTGGCACTTAAAGTCCATGAGTGCAAGGAGGCAAAGGACGAAAAGACAGTGGGGAATTAGCATTAGAGTCGATTGCTAAACTTTCAGCCAAGTGATGATTGTAAATCCCTTACTGATTCAGTCCGTAGAATTATGCATCAGCAGGAGATCATGTGAAACCGCGGAATCAGAATGTACTTTCACAAAGTTTAAGAACAGATATTTGAGCACACCATTCATGGCATTAGCTTCAGTTGCAACACCACCTTTAGAGCATACAGTTTTGTAGTCGTATTCCACGACAAAGTAACCTGATTTTATTTTTTATGATCATTAAAAAATAATTTCAGACTAATATCAAGCACAATTGCTATAACTCTTAGTAGCTATGAAATTGTGAAGAGTTTTGTGTCCTTTATAATGTGATAAAACTTCTCTTTTGCTTTTTATCTACTTTTTAAGACAATCAAGTGTTATCAGTTAACAGCACTGTAGCAAGGTACATTTAATTCCATATAAACCTATCGTATATAATTTGAACTTTCAGATTAAGTTACTTTTATGGGGAAACTGCACCCGGCAGACCTAGTTAAGAAGATTTTGCCAGATGCATATGCTTATTTCAGTTGGAAGTATCGCATCATCATAAAACAAGCCCATTGTTATTAAGTAACCAATAAATACAAGCCTATATTTAGAAAGAAAATGACGTGGTATGTGAATTGGAGTGAAACTTTGATGCCGCATTTTTCTAGTCTTCATCACCTCAATTGCTCAAATGGCCTTCATTCAACGTAGTCAGAAATTTTTGAAAAGGCTGTGTGTTGTCATCCTCGGTTTCGAGGGCAGACATCATTATGTATAGAGATTACCATCATGCATTTTTTAAAACAGTTGACCTGTGGTGGCTGTAGAACAGTCACGCTTTCATTCCTTACCCAGTCTATAACAGTCACATCGTGCTGTCCATCCATCAGTCAGCTAGGCCTACTATTCCATCAAGATTTGCGGCACCTTGCATTCTTCTCATTCAAATCGCGGAAGCAATTCGAGCAGACAACTCACCATCGATTAGTATCATCAATTCCATTGAGGACGAGTATTAAACATTGGATGGAGTCTCCCCATACTAAACAAACTTCTAATTCGAAGGCGCCACCAGCATTTCATTTTTTCGGAAGCTCTGAGGATGTTTCAGTCAGTAATTGAAATGCTACAATTGGCCTGAACAAAATACCCCACGACATTCTCTCTGCAAGTGATATTATATCAGAATGACAGATGCGACTGCAAGACCAAACTTGAGGCTATGCAGTTGGCCAGAGAACTTCTGAAAAAGTTTTCGCTTCTCGATCTACAACTTATAAACAAGTAAACCTGCATAACAGGTTTTCTTGGGTACAGTGGTAACATACCCAATTGTAAAACGACGGTAATAAAGATTTACTTAACAGTAGACTTTACTTTCAAACCTGATCGTATAAACTAAATTCAAGAATCTTACCTTACTAACTTTGATTTAACTGTAGGTTTGCTAACCTGTAATAAATCATGAAAAGTCAAACAGTTGAAACTGTCATTAAGTCTTTCAGCTACTATATTCCGCATTTCGAGGTAGTTAGTTCATCCATATGTAAAAATCCATTTGTCTCCTCTCAGCATTGGTGAAAACGACGTGGTCAGAAACCATTGCAGCAAATACTAGTCACCAGCATTCTGACATTTTTCAAAAGTTTTGATTTTTAAGAAAACTTTATTAATTGATCCCTGGTGTATCATATTATTGGCATAGGCTAAATATGTTTTACGCAGAAGCATCTATCATAACCTTTCTACATAGGTCTCTTAGAAGACAATCATAAAAGAAGCCCAGTCGATCTTCTATATTATTAACCTGTTTTCTCCTAATTGGACATGAACATCTATTCGATCAACGTCTGCTGCTGACGACAAGAGAGGAGATTGCTTCCATTCAGACGTCGTCGCTGGATATGATAAAAAAAACCAACTATGGGAATTTGCTATTTGACAAATCCTACAATTTTCAAACTACGTGATCCCGAGAGATAACTGAACAAAGGAATAATCATCTCATCTGTGTATAGAAGCGTTAGATGAAGTAGTTGATATACAGCATCTGCCTGGTTATCCACAGGAAACATTTTTTAACCCTTAATTAACCTCTGCACATATTTATCCAAATCCTTTAGTGGTTAATTAGCAAACAGCTTCTTTGTGTGAACAATCAGGGGTACAAAATCACATTGATAATCTACGCGTTCATGCTCTTTAACAAAGCACATCCGTTTTTACAGTTATCAGCTAAACTCCTTTGGAATGAATTTCATGCTGCCGTAGCGTTTCGAAAAATTTCACTCAACAGCTGAACTACTCTGGGTTCTTTTTGGTAAATGCTGCATTGCCTGGGAGCGTTAGACTGTATTGAATCAATATGTCCAAAATTACAATTTATTTGTTTACCGCTTTTTAAGCTGGCAGATAATCGACATATTAATTTGTAACATATTGAAAATCCGGTCTGACAGGCGGTTATGAATTAAACCAGAATTGGCGCTGGCGCAATAAGAAAATGTAGTTGCCAGAAACGTATGCATGTTCATGTGGCATCATTTTTTCTTACAATGAAAATTTTCTGCAAACTGCTGACTGTTGCTCTATGGTTTAAATTTTTCAATACATCAGACTGAAGCAAGAAAAGAAACAGGAGATCTTTGTTCTGCTCAAAACGACACTAACTGGTTCTCACCAATGCTACCAACGTAAACAACGATTGAAAGATCGGAACAAATCTTCACTTAGGGTGACGAAACTGTTGGAATCTGAACCAGAGTCCATTTTCCTCTCAAAAGGAACATCCTTATTCTTAACCAATTCATTCTCAACCGATTAGCAATTCGTCACAGGCTAGCACGTAAGTGATTCATCGTTTACTAAATGCAAAACAGCCTAAAAAGTTAAAACGAAACTAGAACTGCCAGCCACATACATTGCGATTCATTCTTATGGAAAAATATACTTTTCTCATAGAAATATATGCCAGCATTACAAAAAATATCAATTGGAAAATGGATGTGATTTTTAAGATAGAGTATGGTTCAATAAAAATGATTGTTATGCGAAATTAACGTTACGAGTGTACTTGATGTCACCAAATAAAGGCTGGTAACAAAATCGTATTTAATGAGACCCAACTCTTATTGATTTATTAGCCAATTCGGTGTATGCTATAGCTACGATGCTCTGTTTCATCCAATTATTATTTGTCATATAATCAAGCTAATAAAAGACCAGTATTTAAAGCATCAGA